ACTACATACATACATACATACATACATACATACATACATACATACAACATACATACATACATACATACCATACATACATACATACATACATACTACATACATACATACATACATCCATGCATACATACATACATACATACATACATACATACATACATACATACATACATACATACATACATACATACATACATACATACATACATACATACATACATACATACATACATACATACATACATACATACATACATACATACATACATACATACATACATACATACATACATACATACATACATATACATACATACATACATACATACATACATACATACATACATACATACATACATACATACATACATACATACATACATACATACTACATACATACATACATACATACATACATACATACATACATACATACATACATACATACATACATACATACCCCTTGTTAGCAATTGTTTTACGAATGTCACCACCAACAAGTGATCAGGACGAGTCTGTTAATAAGAAGGTCTTTTTCCATGAACACTTAAAGGTGATTAAAGAATTGGCAACATTAAAAAGTGTTATGAGCGACCAGAATGTCAAGATGCCATCTTAAAGCAAACAGAACCAAGGCTCGTTTATGAACATTACTAAGTAACTAGTAATAGTTTAAACGGTTTCTATTATTTTCGTATTCAGGTTTTTAGTGTTTCTGATGCATTCTTTTCTCATCATCCATTCTAATGCAGTTGCTGGCATAACTTACTTTTCTCTGAACCAGTACTTTTCTGGTTCCATTAGTATGTAAAGGAAAGTTAAGAGATCTTCTCGCGCAATATGCCCACTAATATGTCGCGCTGGGTCTATGCTTTATAGACCGTCGGCTGTCTTTGGTGATTTGATCATCATCGCTCAGGCCGCTTTTACTTCCCGCGACATTATTTAGTTACCAACTTTAAGCTGAGTCGATCTAAGAGCCAATCTCAGTGTCAAAAAGATTCACCTTGATGGGGATTTGAATGCTAGATTTTTAGGCCAAAAGCTGAGCGTCTATCGACTAAGATACCGGGAATCCCCACTCAGTTTTATTAGTGTTTCCCAAAGTGGACGCTACCGCCCCGAGGGGGGGGGGGGGGGGGGGGGGGGAGGGAGCGCGTCCTTGATCAAATATAGATGATTGAGGCTGGAACGCGCCGAGGGTGGGAGGCGGCGGTAGCAGTCTCAGCTGTAGTTGGGAAGCATAGATAAAACTAAGGCAGCAGTAGAGATAAATAAAAGATACACACACACACACACACACACACACACACACACACACACACTCACACACACTCACACAGAGAGGGACCATTTGGAGTAACTTTTTCAATAGAGTGTAACAGATTAAAATCACAATGACTGCTCCCCCCCCCCCCCCCTCCCCCCCAGACAAATGGAAAGAAAAAAATATTTATACATACATAACCAATCAGATTAATCCTTCAGGTAAAAGAATGTTGTTCTTTAGTTTTGCCAGTGTATGATTCGTTTTGTTTGATTTGGTTAGTTGCGTATCCTTTACAGGACGTTGTAGAACCAACCTCAACAGCCCCTAGTCAAATTTACGTTGAGTAGTTTGCCATTGCTACTGAACGGTCGGCTTTCTTGATACCACTGTCGAAACCAACGCAAGGCGCATAGCCCACAGCTGGAATCGAAAACGGCATCCCAGCATTACGAAGCCTCCGCATCGACTTAGCCACAGAGCCGACTTTGTTTGATTACAGAAGGTATATTTTAAGGAAAGCAGTTGAATCAAGAACTTGGTGGCAACTATCAGGGATAATAGAAAGAGGACAAAGGAAGAGCCAAGAGATAAATACCTAGATTGCTTGGCCACAAGCATGAGGTGACAGATGAGCACCAGCTTATCGGTCATTCAGCTAATCGTTTAAGCTTTCCGTCGTGGCACATGATGATGAGGATAATTCTAGGAGAGGTGGGGAGGGGGAGGCCGCTGGCATTTTTTCACTGAAAAGGAGGCGATGGTCTATAATGTTTGGGAAACACTGTATAAGACTAACTGTAGCTCGACGTTACAAAAACTGGAAAACAACCAGCGTTGAAGTAACAACTTATCTGGCTGAAAGCTTTCAACCGTCAGCCAAGTTGGGAATTCACAAACAGATGTTGACCACTGCAAGCCAGTTCTACGAAGCTATAAATGAATAGAAAGGAGTCACGGAAATAATAATAATAAAATGTGAATAAATAAAAATTTTAAAAAGGAGGACCTCCACAAACCAATTGAAAAATGGGAAAACTCACCACTCTGCTTTCCTAATAGATAAAGCAATAGACCCTTCGGAGAGTCTCATGGTTAGACAAGTTGGGCAATCCAGAGAAAACTCACGATTCCGTATAAACATAATGAACGAAGTCACGGTCTGTCCGTTGGAGAGTATTGTAGTGCCTAAAAAAAAAAGGAAAAGGAAAATATAGAAGAAGGGAGATGAGGAAAATAAAATGTGGTTAGGACAATAAGTAATTCCCCGCTTAATGGCAAAAACATGAAAATAAAAAGAAAATACAAGGGTTCTTTTGTTGAGGAGCCATGAAATATGATCATCAAAGTCCTGGCAAAGGTTATTTGAATAACTGTATTGCACAACTACAACAACTGGCTGCAATAAAATATAACTACATAGGCAAGACCTAGGCAAACCATGTGCAAACTACAAGTTCTATCTTCTATCAAACAAATGAATATAATCATCACATTCAATATTTGTTTATTTGACTGAACACAATACATTAACAACCAACATCATGTTCACACAAGCCAAGCGCTAGCTAATAAAATTGAATATTCTCTTTTAGCGAAATAAAATCTAACATCTCCGGGGGGGGGGGGGGGGGGGGGGTACATCACACTGATATCTAAGTCTACACAGATTAAACAATTGAAAACGAACCACCGCAATAAAGTCAGCCAGACAAACAGCCCATCTCCGCTCAGTCGCCCAGACCCATGCTGCTGAGCCCATGTACGATGCTGCAGCCGCTTAGTGGACTCCCCTGTCTCTTAGAGCGTCTAGCCGATCAGAATACGGAAAGTCAAATAGACCGTTTTTCCTTGTGCGTCGGCCTTTTTTTCACCTCTTACAAGATTAACTTTTTTCCTAAATGCAGCTAAACAAATAAATAATAAACAGCCTTTGGTGCCTGCCACATTATGGTCAAATATATTAAAAGGCAGACTGACTAAATCACTAGTTGTAATATAAATTAACGGACAGCTACTGTATTGCTCTACATATACGTATTGCTAAAAAAATGAAAGAAATGCACGGATATTCCTTGCAAACTAGAAAAAAATATAAAAGAATTATGTAGCTCTCACAGTAGCATATGGTTGTGATTTGTAAGCTTTTCCTAGTCCCTAAGGAAGAACATACTGATCTTTGGGATAAACTGCTATAGGAAGATTCTCAGAATACTAATGAAAAGAAAGAAAATACGTTCTACGAGATCTGAACATTGCGAAAGAGTAGCTAATAAACAACATCTTGCCTCAGAAGCTGAAATATGTTGACAATATCACACGCTAGCAGATACAGCCATGAAATTGCAACAACATCTAACATCCATGAATGAAGAATGTAAAACAAATAATATGAGAATCAACACTGAAAAGACAGAAGTAATGTCAATAGGAAAAAAAGAAGACAGATCTAAACATAGCAATAGAATACAAAGGCATTAAACAGGCATCTGAGTTTAAATATCTGGGAACTACATTTACCGAAGATGGGAAATTGGATAAAGAAATTAACATTAGATGCAGTAAAGCAAACCAAGTATTGGGACAGCTAGCCCCCCCCCCCCCCCCCCCCCCCAATCAGCATATTTATTCCAACTCTGTGCTACCAGTGCCAGACATGGTCACTCACAACAAACCATAAAAGAAAATTAGTAACCACGGAAATGAGATGTCTGAGAAGGGCTGTAGGAGTGACCATAAGAGATAAGATCAGGAATAAGATCATAAGAGAACAAGTCGGCACAGAACCAATTCTGGATTACATACAAAGACAGCAAATGGTTTGCCCACTTAGAGAGAATGCCTTGTGACACCATACCATACAAAGCATACATGGAAAGAGAAGAAGGACGTAGAGCACGGGGTAGACCAAGAACAAGATGGAAGGATAACATCAGAGAAACTCTACAACAGCACGATGTGCCTATGGTCGAGGCAGCCAGAAGAGCTAGAAACAGAACCTCATATCTCCCTCGACACCCACAGCGGTAAAAGAGGAAGTGAAGAAGAAGAAGAAGATTGAGAATTTGAGAAAAATTATAACAGAAAGCTTCGTAACGAAGAGAAGGGACAGGAGCTGAACACAAAGATGGGCACACGATATAAGTGAGTCATAGATTTTGAAACTGCACAAGGCCATGATGAGAGCGACAATCTGCCATATAACTCCTACATGATGACGAGCTCTCAATATTTATTACATAACCATGCTGGCGCAGTTTGGTTTACCATAAATAAAATATGGGTTTAACACCAAGAACCCTATTCCCCAGTATCTTGAAAAAGGTTATCAACTTTCACTACATTATGACACCGAAATTATTGTATATTTCTTACTTCTGTCTTAAACGATCCATCTTTTCCTCGTGTGTTTGGGTTACGTGTTTCATTCAGTGACATCTTCACATTCTAGGAGAGCCGCCATAGTTTAGCAGATAGACGCTCGATCTGAACTTTGTGGGTTCGGATTCGACTTTTTTTTTAAAGATAACTTTAGGTCGACTTAGCCTTAAATGGTTACCTGGTAAAGTCAAAGGAAGTAAAGGCGACCAGCGTGATGTTAATCACATCACCCACCGAATGCTGATTAATCTATAAAATATAGGTATAGCCCTATATGTATAATACGCCTAAAGGTGAGCGAAAGGCCTTTTTTTTTTTTTTACATTCTAGATAATGCATCTCTACATTAACAGAAATGTGTTTCTCGGTTTTTTTTTTAATCTCCAGATGCTACATTATCAAGATAGTTGATTCGTTATTTTATTTTAACTTTTTTTTTCATCAGAAACTTTTCATTGTATCCATTCCCACGACAAGAATTGCTGCAATGAGAGACGTAAGTGACGAAGCGCTACTGGTTGTCCAGTGGCTTGTCTATGCTGTCGTGTGCCAACTCATAGATATTTTCGGTACCGTCACCAACATCATTAATATCATCTGTTTTGTCAAGCAAGGCTTTAAGGATCCAGTCAACATTAGTTTGCTGGGTAAGGTATTATAACATTGTTGTTCTTCATTGCCTTGCATTTTTTTTTTTTTTGCTGTTTATCGTCAGGTGCTTTACTACAGTGTAATGATGTAATGAAGCAGATTTATTGATAGTCAGTAAACTGTGCAATATATTTATTGAGGCCTCATTATTCAAGCGCCGCAGGAAAGAACATTATTTTGAATCATAAAGTACGTACATTAAAGGTAGAGGATATAACTGCAATAACTTTGAAACCAGCTCATGTAAATTGCATGAGACTAAATGTTATAGCTACAGACTCAAGAATAAAGTTCTGTATCGTTCACAGGTTTTGTAAATAAATAGATACCAACACTCTCTTCGTCTTTTTCACCGGATGTAAACTCTTGCAAAAAAGTCTTGTTTTTCGTCCATTTCTCGACTTTCTTGTTCCAGAACCTGAGTGTTGCGTTCACATCCATTTTACAGATCTGAATTATTTGTACGCCGATTGTTGGTTCCTTGCCTCTCAGGCAGATGCAACTTCGCATTAGTCGACTCTTGCGACACGCTATTGTGAGGCATTGGGTCTGTTCTAGTTTCCCCCTCCCCCAACCCACCAAAAAAGGGACATAAGAACTCACAAGGGGATACGCCAGTAATTGTTGCATTGTTGTGTTTTTACAAGGCATTTTCACGATCAGTGGTATGTCGCTGTTTAATAAACGTTTGACTCTCCATGCCGTTGTTGATATTAAAGCAAAACTGTATTTTTTCCAATCGCTGTAATTGAATCGAATAAGGTTTTAAGACATTATGAGTTACGTTCCTAATCGCTCTTCTAATGATGTCGACTCGCACAGACAACATGTCCCCTTTAAAGATAATGGTATGTATAACAAATGTTATGTCTCTTAGAGAACGGCTAGATGCTCGCCTGCGGAGCACAAGATCGTGGGTTCAAATCCCAACTGAGCTGGACATTTTCAAAAATGACCTTGGCTGTCAGATCGACCCAGACTTAAATAATCTGCGTGTTGATTTGACTATACATAAAAGTATGGCGCTATTTGTCCAGTATGCTTGAAGGCTTGGAACAGGGTCCTTGACTTGACTTTCACTATCTTTCTCCTAGATTATTACATGTAAACAAGTGATTTTAGTTATTTAGAAGTTTAATTCGGTTAATTGTAACGTCTGTAATTGTAAAAAAAACCAAAGCATTGTCATTCAGTGGCGCTTACTGTTAAAATAAAAATTAAACGCATAGTAAAAAGAAAAAAAGTAAGATCTATTTTCACGCCTTTAGGCGCATCGGGCATATGGAAAGAGCACCCATACTTTTACAGACCAATCGGCACTCGTTAGGTAATGTGACCAGCATTATACGCGGGCCGTCTTTACTTCCTCAGGACATACATCCTTGTATCAGTTTTAGGCTGGGTCGACCTGCGATACCATGATAAAAGTCCACGCAGCCGGAAGTGGGTTTCGATCTCTGTACGTTGGAATTACGAGTCTGACTCACAACGCCTAAGCCACGGTCGCCACGTAAATTAAACGCATAGTTATTTTAATATGTTCTTTTCATTAGATATGAGTTTTCTTTTCTGGGTAGTAAAGCGCGAACAGATAATTATAGTTCTTTTTTGTAGCAGTATATTCAGTTGTTGACGTTGATGTTTATTAATAACCTGTTTAAATATGGGGGAATGAAATAATGCATGAAAGGAGTGAGGGCAGAATGGCAGAATGTCAGATTGGCCTAATTGCCGAATTCGTAGCCCTTTATAAATAAAGTTGGTTAGTTCTTTCTTGTTGCCGAGTTATTCTCAGGCGTAAATAAATAGTTCTATCTTTATGATCTAACATCTGGCAATGAAGTAATCAGGAAAGAAATAGGCTCTGACAATTTTACAAATGTAAAACGCTTTTTTCTTCTTTTAGCCTTCACTGGCTGTAAACTCTAGACAGAATTTCTGGTTGTTTGTCCACTTCTGAACTGTTATCTTGTTCCAGAACTTGAGTTTGTCATGCACATCAGCGTTAGAGAACTGGCTAATTTATAAGCAGGTTTTGGTTCATCGTATCTCAGGCAGATGCACTCCCACTTCTAAAAAAAATACCTTTAATTAGTTCAAATTTACGGCATGTTCATTGGGACGCCGTGGGTCTACCCTCACCCCCCCCCCCCCACCCCTTTTCACAGCCCGGCTACAGAATGGAGGCTCATAAGCTAAGGTTGAATGCTGCTTGTATGCTACCATCACTTGAGTAATGTGTATATCTCCTGCAATTTTGCTTCTTGTAAAGTTTCCAATCTTTGAAAAGTTTCACGTAGCTGAGACCATCATTTATTGTCCCTTTCGTTATCAAATTATTGTTTGTTCATTATACACGAATTAGAGAAAAAGATAAATTTGTTAATCAGTCAAGAGTGGACTTATGATGTCACACTTTGTCATGAACATACGCATTGCTAAAAAAAAAAAAAAGACGAAAGAATATGTCCGATATTTTTCATTTTCAGGTCTGGCTATTTCTGATCTCGGATGTCTGGTGCCTCTGATATGGACCAATATCTGTTTAATTCCAGCTTTCAGTGCATTGGACTTGCCGTTTGTACCAATGGAGGTGCAGTATCTGACGGGTTCGTGGCCGCACCTCTGCTTCAATCGAGTGACCAGCTGGGTGACTGTTTTCATCTGTGTGGAGAGATGTCTGTGCATAACCATGCCGCTCAAGGTAGGAGAATTTTCGTTCGCATTCATGTTGTCTTTTCCTCTAGAAATCTCAGTAGAGTTGTGGTTCAGAGTTTCCATGTTCACTGTTTCCCTCCAAGATTACTGTCTACAGGAAAAACAGCTCATAACCTCTAAGTCTTATTGACGGCGTATATTGTAATAAACGTTTTTATTTTTTATTTTTAAATCTCTGTTGGCTCCTCACCAGACCTGTCCTGAACTGTTCATGATTATTTGGATTTTTGCAGCTAAACTAATAGATTTAATAGATTTATAAGTAGTCAGTATCATGCCAGCCTTATTTTTTTGCTGACTGCCCCATGTGTGTTAGGTGAGATTGATACTATTTTGTCTCACTGATAGGTCCTGGTAACACATGGACGAACAACAGGTTGTTAACAATTAAAAACTACTTTTTTTTCCCGGAACCTTTTTGAGAGAAAAAAAAAACAAGAATATATTCATTTTCCTTCAGCAGCATACCAAACCAAGCGACTTTAAAAGTCGGTGTGCATCTGCAGTATACATTCAAATTGGCTAGACCTGTAATAATGATGTACAAGCAAACCTCCAGTTCTAGAACAATACTAAAATTTAAAAGTGGACAAGCAGCCAAAACTTTCCGCCGGAGATTACATCCTGTGACAACGACTAAGAAGTTATCCCCATTAGAGGCGTTCACTAACATCGCCTCTAACATCCATGAATGAAGAATGTAAAACAAATAATATGAGAATCAACCCTGAAAAGACAGAAGTAATGTCAATAGGAAAAAAGAAGACAGATCTAAACATAGCAATAGAGTGCAAGGGCATTAAACAGGCATCTGAGTATAAATATAAGGGAACTACATTTACCGAAGATGGGAAATTGGATAAAGAAATTAACATTAGATGCAGTAAAGCAAACCAAGTATTGGGACAGCTAGCCCCCCCCCCCCCCTCTTACAGCATAAGACAATCGACGGATGCACAGTAACATGAAGCCCAATTCAGGCGGGGAATTGAGGTTAAATATATAACAAAGTAAGATTATTGCACGGTTAACGATTGCATACGACTAGGAGTAACCATGAAATATCCTAGAGACAGGAATGAACACATTGCTGTATGGAAACCTGGCAGTGAATAAGCAATTAGAAAGTAGAACTTAGGTCATTGTTGAATGATACACAGAAGAACAACTTGTATTAAATGCAATTAAAAAAAAAACAATGCAATACAAAGATTACAGAGAAACGTAAATGAATTTTTTTTTTAAAAGAAATGCTTACTGGAGAAACAAGTGCATCTTCTTGCCATAATGCAAGACATAACTCTCCTACAACAACCGTAATAGAAAAAACTATTGTGGCGGGCGAGCAAACGGTAAACAGCGATACACGTGACACATTATCTTCAAAAGATGGACGAACTAAAAGTGGTATAGAGGGCACAACCAGGACAGGACACAAAGAGTGTCATGATCCACAAAGTCAATCTTCATTGACAATCTTTACCTTAGTCAAAAATAGATAACATGGATAATGTACTGCCATTCACATATTTGCACCAAAAATGATACCAGTTATCAATAAATCTGTGTTCTGTGTTCTCACTTAGGTTATATTATCGTCTACAGGTGAAGGCAATCGTCACACACAAAAGAGTCGTCATCATCATCATGTGTATATTCGCCACGCTCATCAGCAGCGTGGCCCCAGTTTACTACGCAAACAGACTGGAGTTCAAATTTTCTCCTTACAGAAACAGAACAATATACGGACTTGTCTTCGCGCCCAACTGGAATTACATTGAGGCAGTTAACTTTGCCATTAATAACGTGTTTATTCAGTTCACTGCTTTTATTGCTTTGATTGTTTGTACATTAATTATAGTTTTCAAACTAAAACGTACAAACGAGTGGAGACAAAAATCTGTAACCTCTGGGCAGGCTGATCTCTCAGTCAGAGACCAGAAGGTGACAAGAATGGTTTTGGTTATTTGTACATTTTTTATTGTTTGCTTCGTGCCGATCTCTTTAACTACGATGTCCATTATTATAGAACCAGAATTCTCCATGTATGGAAAATATAAGAATCTGTTCATAATTGTCGGTAGTTTAGGGCTTGCTATGGAGTCTTTAAACTCTGCAGTGAATATATTTATTTATTATAACATGAGTAGCCGCTACAAGACTGTTTTCCGGGAGATTTTCTGCAAGCACAAAAATAAATAATATTTGAAAGGAGTATTTCATTTAAGTTGTATTCATCGTCACTGGCATCTTAATTTAACATGCTATACCTAAATGT